CTATCTGTGATGTCCAATGTTTGAAAATTTCACACCAAAATTTTTCATGATAATATATATTTCCAACTGGATATCAGACATATAACTCATCCTCACCCTCTGAGGGTGACATAGCCTGCAGCCCAGTGTAGTTCTATGTGGTCACAATGCCAATTTGGAGGCAGCCAGGAATAGTTAAAACATGGTAAAATCTTGATATTCAAATTGCAAGACTGACAACTTGCTACTCTTATTTAAATCATTGGCATTTATTTATCTACTGATAAATAACTCTCTTAATATTAATTCTTGATACTGTAATGGCTTACTAGTCAATAGACATTATGCAATATAACAATAATGTTATGGGATGAGAATTCCAAACATGTCTTGAATGAATAAGGTAAATCAGACTATTATAAAGATATGCTGAGACTATCCATTGTCTACATTTTGTCTCTTTTGGGTAACATAATTGAAATTTTCAAATTAATAAATCATTAGCTGTCTCTAGGTTGTATTAACTTAAACATTTCAGCACAACCTATGCTGTGTGGACAACATAATATACACTAAGAAAGCTATAGATTCCACTGAAAAATAAATTAACTCAATAAGCCACTTCAGTGTAGTTGCAAACTTACAAAATCAACACATGAAATCAATTGCCTTCTTACATGCAAAAAATGAACTACAAAAGAAGTTAAGAAAACAATCCTACTCATAACCACAAGACTAAGTACCATGGAGTAAACATAACTAAGGAGGTGAAGATACAAAGAAAAGAGAAAGACCTTGTTCAAAGAAATAGAAAAGAGAAAGAAATGGAAAGATATTCCCTGACCTTGGCTTGGAAGAATCAACATTACCAAATGCCCATCTGACCCAAAGTAATCATAGTTTCAATGTAATCCCAATAAGAAATTCTATGGCATTTGCCAAAGAGATTAAAAAAAATACTTAAATGAATATGGAACCACAAAAGACCCCAAACACCCAAAACAACCCTGACAAAAATGAGGAAGAATGGTGGAGGCAGCACATTCCAGACTCAAGTCCATACAATAAAGATATAATACTTAAAGCAGCATGGTACTGGGACAAAAACAGACACACAGAGCAGTGGATTATAATGAGGGCCCAGGAATACACCCTCATCGAGATGGACAGTTACTCTATGACAGAGGAGCCAAGAGCACACACTAGAACAAAGAAAGTGGGGAAATGGTATTGGGAAAAGGAGACAGACACACGCAACAGAAGAAACCAGGTCTCTGCCCCACACCCTAGAGAAAAATAAACTCAAATAGACAAACAACTGTTTGCAAAGGTATGAAGTCACCATAGTCATGCAGCAAACCTAAGTATATGACGCCACATGAAGAAACCCTAATATTCCACTCCATTTTTTTAAGGTTAAAAGTAAAATTAATCAAACATAATAAGAGTTCTAATTTAAATTCAGAATTACAGGTGCTGAAAATGGAAAAAAAATATTAGAGACTAATAAAGTTTCTCTTTCCGAAGGGTTGGTGATCCCCATGGTCACACACTTCTGCTGGACATCCATTGTCTTTCCAATCCACTCTTCCTCCATTGGCTCCCTCCTGTCTCTCTCCATTTACCTTCCCTCCCAACTCCAGCATTTCTGCATCCCCCTCACAACCATCTCCAGGGACTCTCTGTGAAGGGCACACGGTGGGTGATGGGCGACTGTCCAGCTGTCTAGACAGGGACTAAGGGCACTGTTATTACTGATGGTGCCAACCATGGCGGACATGACAGGTGGTGAATTAAAAAAAAAAAAAAGGTTTACTTATTTTTTAAAACAATAAAGTTTTTTTTTTATATTCCCCTTACAATTGCAACCCCCCCATTCTGACCCCAATCCCTCCCCTCCCTCCCCCCACCCCCAAAAAGTGTCTCTGGTTCATATTTTTTGTTGATTTTGATTTTCACTTTCTTATAGTTATTCATTTTCCTGGTCCCTTATTTAAGTTTTCTAGATTCCTGCTATGAGTGAGACCATCCGGTATTTTTCTTTTTCTTTCTGGCTTATTTTGCTGAGCATGATCCATTCCAGCGCCATCCATGTTGCTGCAAATTGCATGTGTTTATCTTCTTTGAATGCTGAGTTATATTCCATGGTATATATGGACCACATCTTCTTGATCCAGTCATCTATTTTTGGGCATTTGGGTTGTTTCCAAAGCTTAGCTATTATAAATAGTGCTGCTATAATTATAGGGGTGCAGGTGTTCTTTGGAATTGATGTTTCTGTGTCCTTTGGGTAAATACCTAGAAGAGGAATTGATGGATCATATGGAAGCTCTATATTTCGTAGGTCCAGAAATCTCCAAACAGCTCTCCATAGTGGTTGGACCAGTTTGCACTCCCACCAACAGTGCAGGAGAGTTCCTTTTTCTCCACACCCTCGCCAACATTTGTTGTTGCTAGTTTTTTTTTTTTTTTAATATGTGCCATTCTCACTGGTGTAAGATGGTATCTCATGGTAGTTTTGATTTGCATTTCCCTGATTACAAGTGATGTTGAACATTTTTTCATATGCCTGTTGGCCATTTGCATTTCCTCTTCAGAGAAGTTTCTTTTTAGCTCTTCTGCCCATTTTTGGACTGGATTATTTTTGTTGTTGTTGTTGAGTCTCATCAGCTCTTTGCAGATTTTTGTGATCAGTCCTTTATCATTAGTGTTGTGTGCACAAATGTTCTCCCAGTTGGTGGGGTTTCTCTTTGTTTTTGTTATTGTCTCTTTTGCTGTGCAGAAGCTCTTTAATTTTTTTTAAAATAATAAATGTTTTATTTTTATATTCCCCTTACAATTGCAACACCCCCATTCTGACCCCAGTCCCTCCCCTCCTGCCCCCAACCCCCCAGAAAGTGTCTCTGGTTCATAGTTTTTTGTTGATTTTGATTTTCACTTTCTTATATTTATTCATTTTCCTGGTCCCTTATTTAAGTTTTCTAGATTCCTGCTATGAGTGAGACCATCCGGTATTTTTCTTTTTCTTTCTGGCTTATTTCGCTGAGCATGATCCCTTCCAGTACCATCCATGTTGCTGCAAATTGCATGTGTTTATCTTTTTTGAATGCTGAGTAATATTCCATGGTATATATGTACCACATCTTCTTGATCCAGTCATCTATTTTTGGGCATTTGGGCTGTTTCCAAAGCTTAGCTATTGTAAACAGTGCTGCTATAGAAGCTCTTTAATTTGATGTAGTCCCAGTTGTTTATCTTTGCCTTCACTATCACTGTTTTGGGTGATGTGTCTGTAAAGATGTCTTTGATGTGTAAATGATTAAATTCATATGGAATCACAAAAAACCCCTAATAGCCAAAGCTCTCCTGAAAAAAAAAAAAAAAAAAAAAGAAGGGAATGGAGGCATCACACTCCCAGACTTCAAACTATACTACAAAGCCATAATCATCAAAACTGCATGGTATTGGAACAAGAACAGACATACAGACCAATGGAATCAAATAGAAAATCCAGAAATAAACCCACAGATTTATGATCAACTAATCTTTGACAAAGAAGCAAAGACTATGCATTGGAGCAAAGAAAGTTTGTTCAATAAATGGTGCTGGGAAAACTGGGTCACTACATGCAAAAGAATGAAGCGTGACCACTACCTCACACCATACAGAAAAATCAACTCAAAATGGATTAAAGAACTAGACATAAGACCTGAAACCATAAAATACATAGAAGGAAATATAGGTGAAACACTACATGGTTTACTTATTTTTATACAAGAGCTGAGGTACAGGTCAGAGGCGCAGGAGGGTGAGAGGATTCACCAGAGACAGAGCAGGGTGCAGAACAGGCAGACGACAGAAATACACTGCTGAGGGGAGCCGTGGGCACAACAGGAGAGGTCTGTGGCACCACGTGAGACCCTCACCAGGTGGGTGGGATCGAACCCGTGCTGTTGAGGCTGTGCAGAGCTTCACAGTGCGGTGCTCAACCCACTGCACCACCAGGGAGCCCCAAAATAGGATTTTTCTATTCACTATGATAGAGGTGTGAGCCAGAGACAAAATCACATCTACACACTGAGTGTGATAATTACTCTCTGAGATGCACTTCAGGATGCTCCAATTAACACAGTCAAGTAAACACAGCACTTTCCCTCTGGAGGAAGGTCCCTGAGGGCTGGAATCTGGACAGCGTCCAACACGCGGACACCAGCTCCAGAGCTCAAATAGCCCAGCCCTGAGGCCCTGCTCTTTCCATGATGCGGCACAGCACAGGGTGGAACATACTGTGAGTACTCGCTCATAGGCTCCCCATGAGCCCCGACCATGGAGTGAGAGGCCAGGATGTCCTCTGTCTGTGCCATGGGAACCACCACAGGAGAGGGACTCCACATGGTAGCTTGATCTTTCCTCCACACTGCAGGTATTTTGTTTTTAAACAGTTTTCAGAATAGAAATCATTCATACTTGAAAGTTATTAGATTTCAAGCTTCATTTAAGATTTGAGTAAGAGGGCCTCCCCTGGTGGAGCAGGCAGTTGAGCACAGCACTGTGAATCTGTCCACAGACTTTGCAGCGCTAGATCGATCCCCACCCACCAGTGAGGGTCCCACATGGCGCCATAGACCTCTCCTGTACGCCCACTGTTCCCTTCAGCAGTGTATTTCATCAGTCGGACTGTTCTGCTCCCCACTCTGTCTCTGGTGAATCCTCTCACACTCCCGCACATCTGGCGCCTATACCCCGATTCTTGTATAAATTAATCTTTTTAAAAAAGTGTAAGAACAGCATTCTGAGTAAGAACAGTAATTAAAATATTTGTTTTATAAATGACAATGAAAACATTTTGAAGGTTCACAAATTTCTCAATGCCCCAATGCCATATCACTCTGGATGATGATATTAGAGTCTGCAGGACCTAGAAGGAGCAATGACCCAGTAAATAGATTGAATTATAATCCATTTTATGTCAATACTGTAGATTTGACAATGTTTTCTTCCTCTTTATTTTTTTCATGTAGATGATAGCTCCAGAGGTGACCAATCTCACGGCCGTGACAGAATTCATCCTCCTGGGGTTCGCAACCCAGGGGACCATGGGCTTCTTGCACCTGCTGCTCTTCTCCCTGGTCTACCTGTGTACCCTGCTGGGGAACGGGCTCATCATCCTTATCACCACCCTGGACCGGCACCTCCACACCCCCATGTACTTCTTCCTGAGGAGTCTGTCCTTCTCGGACCTCTGCCTCATCTCAGCCACAGTCCCCAAGTCCATTGCCAGCTCTCTGAGGCGCAGCAGCTCCATCTCGTTCCCTGGCTGTGTGGTTCAGCTCTTCATGATGATTATGTCAGCAGGTGTCAAACTGACCCTGCTCATGTTGATGAGTGTTGACCTCTATGCTGCCATCTGCCACCCCCTGCACTATGACGTCATCATGAGCAGGGACAGGTGTGTGCAGCTGACAGCTGTGTCCTGGCTGGGTGGGGGTCTCCTTGCTGTGATGCACACAGCTGGAACCTTCTACTTGTCCTACTGTGGTTTCAACGTGGTCCACCAGTTCTTCTGTGACGTCCCCCAGTTAGTGGCTATTTCCTGCTCAGGAAATTTATTGAATGAACTTGTCCCCATTCTCATTAGTGTGGTCTGGAGTATCAGCTGTTTCATTTTCATCGTCATTTCCTATGTGCACATCTTCTCTGCTGTCAGGAAGATCCCATCCACTGAAGGGAAGGTCAAAGTCTACTCCACCTGCCTTCCCCACCTGCTGGTTGTTGTGCTGTTTCTCTGCATGGCATTCTTTGCTTATATGAAGCCCGCGTCAGAGAGTCCGTCCATGTCTGACCTGATCATTTATATTTCTATGTTCTACACGGTGGTTCCCCCCACCTTTAATCCCATCATATACAGTCTGAGGAACCAAGCCATGAAGTCTGCTGTGGGGAGACTGATGAAGGGAGTACTCACAAAAATGTAATACAGAAAATGAGTTTATGACTCCATTACTGGACACATTTTAAATTTTCACATTATATTCTTCTTTATATTCTTATAATTACATATAATTCCATTGCATAATTTAAAAATATATGCTAATTTTTAAATTATATTTAAGATGACTTCATATACTTCTATAGACTTATATTTTGCTCTTTTTAGCACTTATATGTTTTTTGATATTGTGTTTGTACTGAGTGTACTGATACTCTGTGTGTGCTGGGGTAATTAAACTTCAGCATCTTTCTGCTGTTTTCCATTTCTGTAGCTCCCGGCTGAGAGAGGCGATGGTTGGGTTTCATCTCAGTCATCAGCAGAGGTTCTGTCACTGGTGCAGCCTCTCCGTTATCTAAGGCACTCCCCCTTTCCTGTCACTGACCCTTGCGGTCACACATGGGATCAGCTCCTAACTGTGGCCCCTTTACTTAGTGAGTGAGGCCTTCATAGCACAAATAAGGCTTTGGATCCGTACTTATAATCTGAGTCGTCATGACCTTCTATTGATAAGGACCACACATAATGTGGTAGAGACCCTCCTGGAAGCTCTGGTGTTGGTGCTAGCCAGTACTCCAAGATGTGTGATACCGAAATCTAAAATTATAACCTCTCATTAATTCAGCTTTCCCCCCCTAACTCTTAACATGTTATTCATAAAGCACAGATTTCTTGAATTAGGATTATTCCTTTTCCCAAATTCATATTCTCATATTCTTCAATAAACCTCTGTTTCCTAAAATTTCCAGAAATCCTTTGCCAACCGTCTCCCTGTGTTTTGTTCATAAACTGAATCTGGCTAATGGTTAAAAACATGAATATGCTGTGGAAAGAATGTTCTGGAACTCACATATCACCAACCTTTACATGAAATGAAGCAGTGTAAAAGGTGGTCTGTTCTTGGGAGCACAAGGTCATGGGACCCCAGTCCTAGGCACTCTGTCCCCACAGCCTGTTTGTGACTCCACTGTGGGGGTGTCCCATCCCCGTGGAGGGGAGGGGAGCACAGTTTAGTGTTGGACCCTGTCCCTCACGATTCCTAATGGGGCGTCTTCCTCTAGGAGAAGTTCCAGTTTCTGCTCAAAGATAAAGGAAACCACACTTGACTCTGCCAGAGGTGGAAGGATGGAAACTTCCTTGGTTCGCAGGAATCTATGACTGAAACCTGGAATGGATGGAATGTTAATTTCTATGATGCTTTTTGGATGACAATGTGGCTGTACCCCCTCAATGTGGTGTTTCCAAAAGTAAAGTTATTTGAATTATTTTTGAAGAACTGCATTTTTACTTTAAAAATTGTAATTTTTAATTTGTTATTGTGTTTAGGTTCCTTTAGTTTTCCATATTGTGTCTTGATCCTATACTAGGTCTTCTTCTCAATTTTCGTATAGATTACACTTAAGTTTTAAGTTCACTTTTTTTATACTTGGGAACTATGTTTTCTTTTAATTATGTAAAACATCATGCAAACTAAAGCCTGGCAATATTTGCTGATTTTTTTTTTTTATAATCCTACATATCTGCACTACATGCCAGAAGTTCTCAAATTGTTTCCTTAACACTGAGAACATGAGCTGGGGTGATGTTCCTCCTCTCCGGGAGCAGGTCACTGTGTCTCCGTACTCTCCTGACCGATGAGCACATTTTGTCCATGAAACTATTTATGATAATAAAATGTAGTTAATCATAAGACATGCCTCGTCCATTCAAATTTCAGAATGAAACCTGAGTTAGAAAATCACTCACAGTAATATTCGTTTCAGTGATAGCACGAGAGCACAGTCCCCATCCCTTGGATATGATGTCATTCCCTGGTCAGATTCCTGTTAATTTTCTATTTTTCCTTTGAACAAATGCAGTTAGTGTCTGCTGAGAAGGGATCTTTACCATGAGTGTTTCATCACACTGTCACAATAATTTGTTATTTGTTCTTATAAAAGGAAGACACATATTTACAGTTTTTACTGTTTTCACTGTTTACTGTGGGTCACTTTTCACTCCCCCACCTGCGCAAGTGTCCACTCAGAATCTACTAAGTGCCTTGCAGTGCCTGCCCTGTCCATCCACACTCCTATCTCCTCCGCATTCCCTCTCCCTGTTCCCTCTGATAATGAGCAAAGTTTTGCACTCAGTCCAACATTTCCTTTCGCTGTTTGCCTCTATATTTTCTCAGTTATTGACCTTTTTATATTATAATCTCACAGATGGGTGAGACCAGCCAATATCTTTCACTTTTTGACTTATTTCACTAGCATAAGCACCTCAAGGTCCACCTTTGGTCCCTAAGGACACTAGTTCACCTTTTTCAATAGCTGTGTAGTATTCCATTGTGTGTGGACCCACATTTTTTATTTATTCACTCCACTGTGCATAGCAATTGGGTTGGGGCTATGGCCAGCAAGAGTGGTCAGTGCTGCTGTGAATACAGGTGTGCATGGTGCATCAGAGAGTCTGCACATCTGGGACAAATACCTGCAGAGGTTGGTCCAACCTGTGGTGGTTCTGTTTTCATTGTCTGAAGACATCTCCAAGCTGTTTTCCCAGCAGAGGTGAGAGGCCCCTTATCTCTCTCCCTCACCTCCTTGCTGTGTCCAGTCTGCAGCTTGGTCCCTTCTCACGGGTGACAATACATTACAGTTTGGATTTCTATTTTCCTTATTATTGTGCAGTTGAACAATTTGGAATGGATTAAAATCTGCATTGACGAGGGCTTAAAATACCAGAAAGAACACCTGGGTGCTGCCCTCTACACACTCACCATACAGATGAACTTGGGGACACATCACTGAGGACCTGGGAACAAGGGCACAGAGGAACAAGTGGTCCCCCCACATTAGAGAGCTTCTGTGCCTCAGAAAAGCCATCCCCAAAATGGGCCCCTGCGCTGGGAGAAAATTGTGCACATCACACACCTGACAAGGCGAGTGTCCAAAATACACAAAACCTACAAACCCAGCACAGAAAGAAACACCCCAATCCAACACGGCCTCAGACCCCCAGAGACATTTTGTAGGAGAAACGCCCCATGGCCCTGCAGAGTCATTTGCAGATTTTATTCAGGGTCTAAACCTTCCCTGTTCCGGAGCTTGTCTTCATGTCTGAAGTGACGTGAACGTGCTTCCACGAAGGCACAGGTGTTGGTGTTCGCGACTTTCAATCTCTCACCTCCTCTGTGCTTCTCTATAATTTTATTATGTGAGTATAATCTGTCCTGAATTAGTTCTGACATTTACCGCAGCTCTGACAGTGGCAAACTGGTCATTTCCATCCCGCCCGCTCATTGTGCCCTGTCCCCCCAGGGCCTCCGGGGCGACGCGCACCTGAGTCTGTTCTCCGAGACGCACCCGCGGGCGCCGGGGTGGACGCTGCACGCTGGGACAGCGGGAGGGACGGACATTCCCTCGTGGGCTGAGACACAACACAGTCTGTGCTGCCGTGTGGGTTCCCCAAGACCCCCAAGCAGCACCCCAACTCCTGCCCCGCAGGCAGGTCCCCCCGGTCAGGGCAGGGTCACGCTCCAGGCCGAGGGCAGACTAGGTCATGGTGTCTGGCGCCCAAACACGCCCGCGGGGATCCCCGGAGTTGGGAGAAGCACCAGGCGCCCTCCCGGCCATGGCCTCGGCCTGTCCCCTGGGCAGCGCGTGTTCCCCGGCGGCCTCAGCCAGACCCGGGCTCTGCGCGGACGCCCCTGACCCCCACCTGCCCTTGGGGCCGCGTCCCCCTCGCGGAGCCCTTGGGGCGCAAATACCCACGTTTCAGCCCAAGGCGCACCCGATGGGGGGTTCCGGAGTGTCCTGCGTGACCTCCCAGCCGCGGGCCCAGCCGGGACCGCACATGAAGGGGTCGCCCCATCTGGGAGGACGCGGACTTCAGTCACGCCGTGTCCCGCCCTGGCCTCATGGTCGGCGCCTCCACCCCGGGCTGCCAGTGCCGCGCTGACCCCTGCCCGGCCGCGGGGGACGCCACAGGGGACCCGCTTGGTGGCCTGTCCGGGAGGACGCCCCTGCCCCGGGGTTGGTGGGGTGGCCCCGGGAACCTCGACCCCCGCGGCCAACCCTCCCTCGGGCTGCCGACCCGGGCTCAGGCGGCCGTGGCGGGACCTGGTCGACCCGGCAGACCCCGAACCCCGGCTCCCCGGGCCCGCACCCTCGGGCTGCGCCAGGGGACCCCGGCCTGGCCGTGTCCACCCCGGGCGGGACTGTCCACGTGAAGGCGACGTCCACGGAGTCAGCAGCAAGTCAGACTCGCAGGCACCGGAGGGGCCGGCGGGAGCATCGGGACAGGGAGAGGTGTCGGGATCCCCGCAACTCGCGCTTCGGGGATCCGGTTCTGCCGTTCTGGCCCCGGTCAGGCCAATACACTGACAGGTGAGATACCACAGTCTCAGTTACAACCCCTCACTTTGCTCAGGTTTCCCTCTAACTCTCACATGTCCTCATTTCCAAGTAGACTTTTCTCTTAACGTTATTGCTTTGCCAGAAACTTATAGTCTCATATTTTTCCTAAAAGTTTGTTCTGTAAGTTAATACAGTCTTTTACAAAACCCTTCCCAAGTGAAGCTCATAGCTTGTGATGAAGGGCCTTGTGATGAAGGGCCTCCCCGGTGGCACAGAAGTTGAGCACTGGGCTGGGAAGCTGCCTGAGGCCTCTGCAGTGTCAGTTCGAACTGCGGCTGCTCCCCGGCCACCGAAGGAGGGTCCTGCATGGAGCACAGACCTCTCCTGCCCCCCGCTGCTCCCCCCAGCAGTGTACTTCGTCAGTCTGCCTGCTCTGCTCCCCGCTCTGGCTCTGGTGAATCCTCTCACCCTCCCGCGCTTCTGACTGTACCCAGTGCTTGTATAAATAAATAAACCTTTAATAAAAAAAATGTGATGTTGTTTGCAAGAAGTCACACGTTTCTGACTCAGAAAGAAGTCAGAACTCAGAGGTCAGCAACAGTTACTAATAGTGACAAGATGCAAGTTATTTTCTCCCAGGAGCACCGGT